ATTTTTAGTGACTTTTATAGAGGTAGTAGTAATTGTGGCTTCTAGGACTTGTTATCACTGAGAAGGAGCAAGGAGCTTTTCATATAACAGGATTGTTCTGTGGGATTCACAGCATCCACGTCCTGGAGTTATAAAATAATTATTATTTTATAAAAGCTGCATAGTTAAGTAATAGTGGCTGGTTAAAGAAGTAAGATAGTGGATATTGGAAAAGTAGTCATAGCCATAGTGTTATTGGTAAACAGAGATTTTGGGTTTTCTTATCAATGTTCTTTAAAGTTTACAAAGAGATATCACATTCTTTTATACCCTCATCTATACTTTATAGATACATTTAGTGACTAATTCCTAGGTATTTACTGAGTTCCCTCTGTATACCCAGGTGCTATGAAGAAATCTAGGGAAGTTTACAATTGTTATTTTCCAAACATAGAGTCTGATTGGAAAAACAAAGTTTACCTACATGAAATGAAAAATAGAAGCATAAGCATACAAAAGTGGTGAATGATACTGTATGAGAAATGGGTTTTATGTAAAATTTATTCCCAGACCACATTAATACAATCTATAAGAAGAAAAACAAAAGTAAGATGTGTTGAAAGCCCCAAATCAAATCAACACATTTTATTTATTTGTTTGTTTGTTTTTGTTACAGATGTTTCTCATTTTTCCCCCACTGACACTCTCATCCCCTTCCTCCCTCCACCCCGTCCCCAGCTTTGTTGTCTATGTTCATTGGTCATGCATACATGCATGTAAGTTCTGTGGTTTATCTCCCCCCACAAGCCTTCCTCCTCTGAGGCTTGTCAGTCTGTACCCCACCTCTATGTCTCTGGGTTAATTTTGTTCAGCAGTTTGTTTAGTTCATTATATTCCACAAATAAGAGAGATCATCCAGTGATTCCACTTCTAGGAATATACTCTAAGATACCTGAAACACCAATCAGAAAGAATATATGTACCCCTATGTTCATAGCAGCACTATTTACAATAGCTAATATCTGGAAACAATCCAAGTGTCCATCAGTAGATGAGTGGATTAAAAAGCTGTGGCACACCCTGGCCAGTTTGGCTCAGCAGTTGGAGCATTGGCCTGCGGTCCAGGGAGACCAGGGTTCAGTTCCTGCTAGGGGCACATGCCTCGGTTGCAGTTTGTCCCCGGCCCTGGTTGGTCATGCAGGTGGCAGCCACTCAATGTGTCTCTTTCACGTCGATGTTTCTCTTTCTCTCTCTCTGTTCTTCTCTCCCCCACCCCACCCCCCCATTCTACTTGAACAAAAGTTGGAAAAATGTCCTCAGGTGAGGATAGATAGATAGATAGATAGATAGATAAATAGATAGATAAATAAATAAATAAATAAATAAATAGCTGTGGTACATGTACACAATGGAATACTATTCAGCTATAAGGAAAAAAGATCTCTTATCCTTTGAGATGGCATGGAAGGACATGGAGAGTATTATGCTAAGCAAAACCAGCCAAGCAGAGAAATCGACACATTTTTATTGATTACACTGTTGCTGGTAGATGTGAGGTTCTTGCAGTGTCTTGAGGAAAAGCATTTTCAGGGGTCCACAGAGAGGATAAAATCTGGTGGCAAGGTTTGTCTGGAAAGAAAAATTAAAGAAGTTACCAAATGTCCCATCTCTATCCGTTACCATGGAAAATCAGGGCCAGTGATAGAGTCGCTGTCCAGAGATCCTGTGCCTTATCAAAGCTTAGTCCAGTCCAGCATTTGGTGAACTTAGCTTGTGCTCCCAGCTACAATCCATTGCTCTGTTGCTGTACCCAGACTGCCACCTGAATCCTGCTTGTGTGGTCTGCAAGGCCAGTGGCCATGAGGCAAGTGCAGAGAGAGAGAGGGAACTTCTCTGTTCACTTGGAATTTTGTATTTGAGGCTTTGGAGGAACCAGAAGCTTTTTTATTTATTTATTTATTTAATTTTAAAGTTTTTTTTTTTCCTAAAATTTTTTATTAATTTATTTTTGTTACAGATGTTTTCTTTTTTTCCCCCCATACACCCTCCTCCCCACCCCATTCTCGGCTTTGTTGTCCGTGCCCATCAGTTATGCGTACATGCATATAAGTTCTGTGGTTTATTTCTTCCCTCCCCCACCACCCCCTCTTCTGAGGGTTGTCAGTCTGTACCCCACTTCCACATCTCTGGGACTACCCAATTACTCAGACTGTTATGTTCATTATATTCCACAAATAAGTGAGATCATATGATACTTGTCTTTCTCTGCTTGTCTTGTTTTGCTGAGGATAATACTTTCCAGGTCCTTCCATATTGTCTCAAAGGTTAAGAGATCTTTCTTTCTTGCAGCTGCATAGTACTCAACTGTGTATATGTACCACAACTTTTTTATCCATTTGTCTACCGAAGGAACCAGAAGCTTTTTTAAAATAATCGATCAGCTTCTCAAATTTTCAAGAGCTTGCTTTGGGGTCCACCCCCTAACCAATGATCTTTTACACAGGTTGGTTAGACTGACAGGCCTCTATGATCCAGCACCTTCCCCTGTGCCATTTTGACTTTATTGCTCATGTTCTTATCTCCCCGGTGCCCCCCCCCCCATACACACAATCTGGTACTGGAAGGGGGAAGGGAGGGGTGTTAATCCCCTTGGAGAGACAATGCTGCCTTTCCTTGGGATATAAAGTTATAGCTTCCTGGTGAAGAAAACAGGCTCAGTGTCCCTCCCCCTTTACTTACTTTCCTTCATTAGTATCTAGCTAACTACAATAATAGCACTATACTAAATAGTAAGGTAAAATACAAGTATTGGCTATGATACTGAGAAAGTTTTCAGTAAATTAAAGGAGACAAGACACCATCACTTTCTGGAGCCCTGGGAACCAATTACAAACCATAGGAGAGATGTCATCAAAAGTAAAAACAAACAACAATAACAACAACAAAAGCCATTAAGGCATCACCAGATTGCTTTCAACATTCAATATATAAGACTCTTAGGCATCTCTTGCCTGCATGGTGACCTTTGCTTTGCCTAGATCTTATATAGCACTCTATCTAGAGATCTCCAACCAATGTAAGACTCTTATGATGGAGCCACCGAGATGCTGAGATCATGGAGCAACTTAGTAAAGAAAGAATGGATTTGAAGTTAGAAAGGCCAATGTTAAATCTCAGCTCTCCTTTTCCCTAAGCCTCATTTTTCTCATCTATAACATAGGCATAGTAATAATAATGCCCCATAAATATTGTTTTGTGGAAATTAAATAAGAATATATATGTATATCCTTATACATGGGCAAGTAATATGTATTGAATAAATGGTAATTCACATCTAATCGATTATCTTTAGTGCAATTATAGCCACTAACATAGCACTGAGATCTCTATCTGGGCTATAAGCAATTCACAAACCATCCAATAATATGTCCTCACAGTAGTCCATCTTTGGGACACTTACTAATAATAATATTTAACCTTGATTCTGAAATTTAAGTATCCAAACACATTCAACTATATCACCTCATTTATTCTTCAAACAATCTTTTCAAAAGGTGATTATTTCTATTTCCATCCTACAGAGGAGAAAAAAATGAGTCAAAAGGGGTTAAGGGACTTGCCCCAAATCATACCATAGGGAAGTTGCTGAGCCCTCAAATCATATAATTAGGAAGCTGATAAAACAAACTTGAACCTAGGTCTTCTAATTCTAAACCTCTTGTTCCTCTCCCCATACCACATGCCTCTTGACAAACACTGTTTTTTATTTTTTGTTTTTGTTTTTTTGTGGAGTCTTATGGAATCTATCTTTCTCCAAAGCCCCCATTTACCCACAAAGTACTTGATATTAGGAGTTAACAAACCAGGGACGTCTAGTTGACCCACTATATCGATATGTAGACTAAGGTCATGTTCTCAATGTCCTTTCTAGCTAAAACATGGACTTTTGTTTTGTAAAATCTGCTGAATTGCTGTTTATCACTTGATTAGGATTCATTCCATAGGCACAGATAGACATTAGGAAGCTGTGAATTCTCTTAACTCCATGGGGCACATCTAATGAAATGTCCTAAAAGTTGATTATTTGCCAAAACCACTGTGTCACATAGAGAACCACTCTCAATTAATCACGATGAGAGTATTTCCTCTATCTAAATGAAATCTGCAATTTGGGAAAGAGATTAAAGATCCTTCAGGGAATGAAGGGAACGTTGCTGTGGAAATTCTAGAAACCAGAAAATAAAGATATGTCTACTCAATATTCATGAAGTCAGATTGGTTGATGCAAATACAGATTGCAATCTCTTATTTTTTAATGACTTGGCATGTAGCTCTTCTGTATCGTGTTTTATACAGATTGCTACTCAACTTTAAAGCAAATGACTGCAGTTTGTACAATTAAAAAAAAAAAGTTCAACATATTCAACAAGATTTTTCTGCCATCTTTGACTAACTTTTAATTTTCTATCCAAAGATTCTTGAGGTATATGACCAGAAGTGTATAAATAACAAAGAAAATGATGATAGCATGCATAGTAGGTAAACATATATATCAGTAAGTGAACCCTTCTATTTTGCATTGAGTACAACACACTCTCAAAAGGCAGTTTAAAGAGAAGAGTTGTAAATATTGGTTTAGGTTTAATTTTGCTTCTTAGAGTGGAAAATGAAATTTATTTAGCACAGCCATTTTTAAAAAGAAATGATACCAACTTCAACTGTCACCCAATTTATTAGCGATCCTTGCCTCGTAAGCATCACAAATCCTCATCTCCTACTCTGCCGGATAAAATGTAAGAGAAAATGAGTATAAGTTCTATTGCTTACTTCATTTCATTATGTGGAAATGTAGCAAACAAATATTTGGAAGGTGTCAGAAACTTTGAGCCATTTCGTTTTTTTCTCCCAGCACCTGCCTATAAGGATCCTCAAAAAATACTGTCGAGCTCTTTGTTAAATACGTTAACAGATTCTCAGAATAGACTACCTGTTACTTAAAATTTTTCTACTTCTATTTTCAGGCCAGCCCTGCTCCTATAATTGTCAACACAGATACTTTGGACACGATTCCTTATGTAAGTAACATTTTTATTAAGACTTTCTTCAAAAACTATGTAGAACTTAATCAGCTGAATTTAAATGTTAATACATATTCAGTTTTACTCAATCCAGATGATTTTATGGAATGGTACGTAAAATGAGTTTTGTGAGTTTTGACAATTTAGTCATGCAAATGTTTTTCTCTTTTATTCATTGTTTTGTAAAGCAGAGAGCTTGTCATGATAACAAAAAAATGAATAAATAAAACATAGCTGATTGTGTTCAAATAATGTTAGTTTCCTAGGTGGTTCACAGAAAAGAGATTGGATTGCTTATAGAAGAGTTAAATTTCTTTGGATCTCTTAGTAAACAAATACTCAAATCAGTTTCTGTTGCAAAGCCTAAAACATATAAGTAAGTGTCAATAAATATTCAGTGGATTTTACTAGGCTTCTAACAAGAACTGGAACAAAATTTCATGAGAGTTGAAGGCTGTTTATATGTAACAAAATGCATGGTTTTGTGAAAGCATAACATGAGATAATAGGATCAGTCAGATCAGTAAAAACCTGGGATTCTGTACCTGAAATACAACCACTATGATGGCCAAAGTTCTAGACAACAGAGTCTGGATGGGCAGGGGAGATTGGAGAGGCAACTGGACTGGGTTGTACCAAGGGGACCAAGAATTGTCAGAGCATCCAGTTTTTCAATAAAAGTTGGAACTTTGAATTTTTTTGTAAAAGTCTGCAATTTTTAAATACAGGTAACAACTAGTTTTCAAAGGTTCAAATACTGTGCGTGCCAAACAAAGTGTAGTTTCTAGTGCAGAGGCTGCCTGTGGGAGATGTCTGCCTCCAAGGACTGGAGGACCAGAGCCGGTCCTGCTAGCCCGGACTCAGCCACAGGGGAGCAGAGTGCTAGAACTGGAGTACAAGGTGGGGACTTGATTACAGGAACAAGTGACTAAAACTGGGACACAGGGTCAGGACAAGAATAACATCAAACTTGATTTTATGCTGAGTCACCTGAACTACTGAACTAGGGCTTCTTAAATCTCTCTGAATGGGAGTTGTTTGGGGTCAGACCGGAAATGGGGTTAAGCTTATTGGTAGGAATCAAGTGTCCCTAGCTGTGGAAAGTAAAGAACTCTGTTAGAAGGGAGCAAAACAATGCATTGAGGACACAGAGTGTCCAGCAGTCTTTCTCTCACTCTTTCTACCTTCTTTTACTTATTAAACATTTATATTGGGATTACTGTATGCCTGAAATTCTTTTAAGCATGAAGAAATATTAACTCATTTAATCCTAATAACCCTATGAGATAGGTGCTATTAATTTCTTCATTTTATAGATGAAGAAACTGAGTCATAAAGAAGGGAAGTAACTTTCTCAAGGTTACACAGTAAGAGGTGGAGCCAAGAATGAATCTAGATAGCCTAGCTGTAGAGGTCAAGATCTTACTTAAGGCTGATAATGCTCCTTTCCGCCTTCCCTCCTTCGTTTTCTGTCTCTTAGCTTGGGAACAAATGTTGCTTTCTTACTCCTTTGCTACATGTAGCTTTGGGTGGCAGACCACTTATCACAGAGGCTTCAGTACCCCTGGGGGCAAAGACCCATGTTTATATTAAGAAATCAAATAGCTTCACTGTAATAAATATCTTTAATATATCTATTGGCAAAGCAAATGAGCAGTGCTTTGAAAAAGTAGACATGGAGCACAGAAACCGAATTTTCTAAGTAGGACTGCTTTCTTGTGGTAGATCTATATTATGCCAAAGCCTTCTATTAAGGTTTTTGTGGCTTAACTGACAGATGCCCTCATTCACAAATAATTTATCAATAGAAACTAAGGATTTTGCACAGACATGCCAAATTCATATTCCAACTAATCAGCTAGCAAGATCAGCCACATAAAATAAGACAAACTGTTCCCATTCTCCTAAATATCAACTTTGCATGTGACTTTGAGTTCTTCAAAGGACTTTTCCCCCTATCTTCACCTGTTTTATATTTAATGCAGCAACCCTCCTTGGGCCTTCTTAACAGTTAGGATCTTTAGAGAGTTTTGCTGAGCAGCATGGTACAGTAAGAACATCAGAGTATGCATGGCAGTGTGTTCTTGGATAATTCATTTAATCTTTCTGGGCCTAAATTAATCTGTAAGACAGGAATTATGTAATACCTACTTCAGAGGTGGTTAACTGTGAGAATAATAAGATTATGTGTGTGAAACGATGCTTTGTTAACTTTGGGTTGCTAGGGATTGATTTATTTATGATTTTATTCAATGAACGCTTATGAAGTAACACATGCTAGACCCCAAGAGAATCATAAATATAAATATCTTCCCCCATATCAGGGAAACATGAATACTTTATCTAGTAAAAATAGAGTTAGTACACAGACATTAATACGAATATGCTTCGGTCTCAGCATCAGCCCAACTCTCCCCTTTTTCCTGACTCATCAGGTAACCTTGAACAAATCACTGTTCCTTTTACAGTCTATTTTCTCATTCCCCAGTGTTCTATACTGTGTTTTTCTCCTTTCTTTCTCATGTTCTAGTTGTTCGCATAATTTCAGCTCCATTTAATGAAAAAATGATTTTAGAGCTCCCCAGAGCATTTCAGTCATGTTGCATAAGAACATTTCCATCTTTAAAAATATTACCTAAATGACAAATTTTAACTTATATATTAGTGTCCTCCTCAAAATTAATTTTATTACAAGTAAATGTATTAATTTTGTCAATTAGCAAATTTGATTTTAGAAATATGTTGTCCTTGTGGAAATGATTCCTTGGCAAACATGCCAACAGCAGTTGAAAAACTAGAGAAAATCTGTGCTCAAAGGAAATTTTTTAATAAGCGTCTAAAAAAGGTACAACAGATATTTAAAGAGATTTCTGCCTTCTTTTTTAGGAAGGTAAGTTAAGAGATATTAGAGTTTTTAAAGTGCCTGCCATTAACCAAGGCTTTACTGCGGTTCTTACACAGGAAAGCTTCAAATAAACTCATTCTTGTATGATGTCACGATACTGTGGGGTTGGGTGGGACCTTGTATGTGCCACAGTTGGTTCTCATGCACAACAGGAATCCCCTATATGAAGATATTTTTATCATGGGACCGGTTGTGGGTGGGACATTGCTACCAGAGTTTGTCATGTTCATTACGACAGCTGAAGTCCAGAACACAAGTTCTCAAGGGAAAGCAAGGAAAAAAAAAAAAGTTTCCACTTAACACTCTGTGGTTTCCATGTCTTACTCAGTCTATTTATTCTTCTCCACTATTGTTTTATGCAATGTAGTAAAAATGCTCTGTTCTTAGAGAGGGTGAGCAGAGCCTGCGTGTGATCTTTACGTTCAGATCCCTGAAGGCTGACTTAGTGGAAAGGTGGCATGTGGCCCCTGGTACTCTGCAACCAGCTGGCATGGGAGCCTCCCTGACATGCTCCTTCCCTTCAGCAGCCCCTTTGGAGTTCTAGAATGAACACCACCCAAACCAATTCCATCCTTTATGCTTCAGAAAAATAAAGTTAACTAGAGAGATTCTAGAATATCTTTTCTCTGCATCCTTCTCTAGCTTTCATTTCATAATGGCTATATGTGGATCTGTGTTCCAGAAATATAATGTGGAAAGTGTAGAAAACTCAAGAATCAGGAGTTTTAAATCGTGTTAAGTAACTTGGGGCTCAAGGAATGCAAACCTCTCATTTTCAAACACAGATATCCTAGCTCAACTAGTAAATGGTAGAACTTGGTCTACCATTTGCTGTTACTCCATGTAACAGTTCATTTTTGGTGTGCAACCAACAACCACAAAATCAGTGGCATATAACAATAAGCATTTATTTTTCCCATAAGTGTTTGCTAGTTGGCCAGGTTGGCTGCTTCAGGCTGTAGATTCCCAGGTTGGATCAGGCATATTTCACATATTTCAGTATGGGGCCCAAAAGTGGGACAGTGCTACTCAGAGTGTGTTCTTTTCATTATCATGGCTGGAACACAAGAGGACAAGCCCAGGACACAAGCATCAGTAGAGTGTCTGCTCACATCACATCCACTAACACCCCACTGGCCAAAGCAACTCATATTGCCAAGCTCAAAGAGAAGAAAGGGAGGAATATTTGCTAAACCAGAACTAATTTGTCATACCAAATCCTCAAATAAAATGGCCAAGAATCTGTATATGTCCCTTTTTTAAGAAAAAACAAACAACAAAATAAAAAGGTATAACAGAAGGAATCTTACCCTGTAAAAATATTTGTAGGTCAATGATAATAAACAAGGAAATTTTCACAGGGGGCTGGTTCAACTCATATGGGAAGTAGGTGTCTAAATTATTCAGAAAATAATGAAAAATAAAAGAAACATCTAGCAAGTACTAGGAGTACAATGACTTTACTTCCCTGTGAGACACGGTTGTCTGAAACCTGGTTTTCAGAGTAGAAATAATAATGGAGACAAGGGGATTTGTTCCGGATATTCTGGGGCTGTGGCTTGGAAAACCTCCTAAGGAAGTGAGGAAGAAAGGAAAGAAGAGGAGAGGAGAGAAAAGAAGGAAGAGTTAGGTAACCAAAAATATGAGAGGGTCCTTCAGAGAGGGCATTATGCTAAGTGAAAGAAGTCAGTGAGAGAAAGATCAATACCACACAATTTCACTTATATGTGGGATCTAAAGAATAAAATCAATTAACAAACAAAATAGAGACAGACTCATAGATACAGAGAACACACTGACAGTTGACAGGTGCCAGATGAGAGGATGGGTGAAAAAGATGAAGGGATTAAGATGCACAAATAGGTGGTTACAGAATAGTCACAGGGGTGCAAAGTACAGCATGGAGAATATAGTCAATACTACCGTAATAACTATGGGCAGTGCCAGGTGGGTACTGGAAGTGTCAGGGGGTGGGAAACTAAAGTATATGATTGTCTAACCACTATGCTGTACACCTGAAACTAATACAGAATAATACCGCATGTAAACTATAATTGAAAAATAAAATTTAAATTAAAAAAAATGACAGACA